TTATTTATTCGATTCGGCTTTTAATAGTAATATACTTCGATAAAGAATTAATCTATTCTAGATAAGAGGTTTATCGATATAAGACTTAAGAGATTAGAGATAAAATATATTATAGATCTTTATACTTACTAAAAGCTTTAAGCGATATAAGATTTTTATAAGATCTATTACTTTAAATAAGACTATATCTCTTATTATTTAATTTTCGAGATAATTAATCTAAGATAATATTCTTACTACTAAGAAAGATTATATTATTTACTTTAAAATTAATCTTCTAGCGTCGCTTATTAGTCTAGGTTACTATAGCCTTTTAAACGCGATTTATATTATTCTCAAATATAGTTAAGAACTTACTATATATACTTAATAATATCTTTTACTTAAATAGCGTTAAGGCGTTTATAAGTAATATTATAGTCGATAATATTTAAGCTAAAACTTATTTAAGAGTAAAAGCCCTTATTTATAAAGAATAATAGAATATTCGTCGCTATGAAAGTAGTATTATTATTAGTAAACTTAGTAATAAGTAATTATCTAGATTAATTATTCTATATATAATTATAATATATTCGAAGATAGCGTTTTATATTCTAATTAGCTCGTTTAATCTATTTATTAATTTTAAAATAAAAGACTATTAATAGCTTAGCCTTAATCCCGAGTTATTTATAAAAGACTTTTTATATTATCGATATAAATTAAGAGCCTTTATTCGAAATTATTAACGCCGATAGATTATATAAGCGAAAGATCTTCTTAAGTAATATATTAACCGTCTTTTCGACTATAATTTCTTTATTTATATTAGAGTACGCGATGTAATATTATTTCTTAATAAGTCGATCTATCGCTATCTAGATAGCGTTATATTCTATCGAATATAAATAAACTTATTACGAAGTCTATCGAGATATTCTATTATCGCTTTTAAGAAATTAATAGAGATTATAGTAGGTTATATTCTTAATTATAAGAGATTTTAGATCTATAATAGATATAGTAATTTCGAATATAGATAGTAACAATAGCTTTTATATCTTATTAATAGTATTCTCGCTTAAGTAGCTTATAGATATAGACTATATCGAAATATTTATATAAGAGCTAATTATATACTTCGCGAATAACATCGATATATAGATCTTCTAATATCTATAAGCGATTCTTATAATAGAGTATCTTATTCTCTATAAAGCACTTATTAAGTATAACTTCGCGGAGTTTATTCTTATCTTTCGTAATTACCTTACGAATTTCGTTATAAAACTTATTAGCTCTTATTTTTCTTAGACTATTCTATAAAAGATAAGGTCGTTAATAATATAAATTCTAACGTTTCTATTATTAAGTTTTAAGCGATTAGACGTAAGTATTATCTAATATTACTACTTTAAGCGTTTATTCTCTAGACTATTTAACTTAAAATCGATTATATATATAAATATATCGACCTTAACGTTCTAAGGCCTCTAGGCGATAGATAATTTTAATATTAAATTCGAATAGTATATTTAAATAGCGGGCCTAGCGATAACTTAGATTTCTTTCTTTAATAAAGTATATTAAGCTCTTATAATTCGTAAAGATCTTAATAGAAATATTAATATATTTTAATTTAGAACGCTAGTATTTTAGATAGCGAATAATAATTAATAACTTCTTATTATAGATTTAATAGTTATACTTAGCTGAGATAAGATTCTTACTATAGAAAAGCTATCGAGTATAAGACTTTATCGTTATTATATTAGAATAGAATATTATTATTAACGTAATTAGAGAAGTTTATTTTAAGTATAATATTCTTCGATCTATCGAAATAGCGTAGAATTAAAGCTCTTATAATAGCTATCTTTAGTAAATAAAAGGCTTTCTAATAGATCGATAATTAATTAAATATTACTTTCTTAACTATAAGTTTTACTATTAATTTTATAATCTTCGAGAAGTCTCTTATAAATTGATAATAGAAGTTATAAAAGTTAATAAAGGTTTATATCTTCTTTAAATTAATAGAGATAGATTATTTAATAATAGCTTAAATTTTAATAGAGTTTATTTATAGACTATTAATCGAAATAAGAAGACCTAAAAATTTCGTCTTCTAGATATGAAATTTATATTTAAGGATATCTATCTATAATTCGACCTCTTATAGCTTTTAAAGAATCTTTCGAATATACGTAATATATTTCTTTCTCGATCGATTATAAATAAGAATATCGTCGAGATAGACTTAATAGAAGTCGTTTAGATACTCGAATAGAATATTATTTATATATTATTAATAGGTGACTAGGCTATTAATTAGATCGAAGAAGAGTATTCGATACTTATATACGTCGAGGAAGATAACAAACGTAGTAAAATTCTTACTATTGAGATATATACGTAATTTATTAAATACGGCTATAATATCTAATCGAGTAAGATATTTATAGCTCTAAATTCTCGCGAGAATCTCGTCTATTAATGAAATTAAATATCGATTTCTCTTAGTAATAATATTTAGTCTTCGATAGTTTATATAAAAGCGTAGACTCTTATTTAATTTCTCGGTAAATAGAATAGAGGATACGAACGGAGTATAACTAGGTGTTATAAAACCCTTTTTTAGATACTTATTTAAATACTTCTTAATCTATTTTAACTTATATTCTAATATAGAATAGACTTAACTCTTTAATAGTTCGACGATATCGATCTCTATAAATTCTAGTTTATAATTATAAGAGCGATATAATAATAGTTTATTTGTCTTCGTTCTATCGAAAATATTTAAATAGTCGTAATACTTTATAAGAAGTTTTCATTTAATATCTTTAGGGCTAACGATTTTAATAGCGCTAATTTAAATAGAATAATTCGATTTATAGTACCTCTTATACTTCTTTTCTAAGTTATAAAA